ATAGAGAGAAAGAAAGAAACATCAATGTGAGAGAGACACATGGATTGTTGCCTCCCGCACACACACCCCAACTGGCGCTGGGGATTGAACCTGGAACGGTTCAGTGTACAGGCCGACACTCTAACCACTGAGCAACCGGCCAGGGCTCTACAGATAAAATTTTACTGTGAAAGAAAGATGGGTGCATTAATGGGAGTTACGATTTGATGAAGTTAGGATTAACTGCTGTCTTAGCTGATTTTTAATATCCTGAGTTGAAAGAAAGTTTAAAGTCATTCTTATTATTAAATGCTTAGCCAATTCAGAGTTCTTTGGGTGAACTAAAATATCTTTTAACATGTCAGGGAAATTAAATTACTTTTTTTTAGAGCTTACGATAAATCTATTTGACTCTTTGTTAGCAAAAGCTTTACATTCATCATTCATTGAAATTAATCTTGCTCATTCAATAACTTTTAATTCCAAGAAATAGCATACTTATTAGATTTTAACCATACAGACTTAAACAACCAAATCCAGGTGCTGAATTTGAGTAAATTTAGCTGATGATGGGGCTGGGAATTCCATTCCCTGAAATATCTTAGAAAATAAAACCTATGATTGTTAATGTGAGGATAGCAATACATGTGTACATTATTATGTCAATCTTTAGTTTGTTATAGTTTTTAAATTTCACTCGTTAGTTATTCCCACACCATTTTGCATAAAGAAAAGACCACTTAGAAGATTTTATGAAATATAGCTTGATAACATTACACATAGGCGAAAAGAATGGAAAACAAAGATAAGCACGTGAAATAGATTCCAACAAAAATGTGTTCTATATTTAGTCGCTTCAGTACCAATTTTTTAACCAGATGAGGAAAAAATAGTATGACTTTTTATAAGTATAAAATGTTTAACTTCTTCCTATTTCCAGTTTAAGCTTTGCCTACTTGAAGGACATTCTGAAAGTATCCCAGTATACATCTCAGAATTTCTAAGGAATCTTCTTAGAATCAAAATCAAATCTTATTGTAAAGTTAAATTACTATTTTTCTGCCCGATCACTTGAAAATAAGGACTATCATATCATTAGAAACTCCTGCAAGAACACAAATCTCCTCATAGTGTAAACTCCTGGTAAGTGATAGGATTTTCTATTTTAGGGACTAGTGTAGACATACATCTACATCCATATTTTTAAAGATGGAAAATTTCTGTATTTTTTAATATGGAAAATCGCTTGCAGGTTTATGTTTCTAGGCTTCTAAGACTTCACCCATGTCCTAATCCTTCACTTAATAAACTATCTTTGTACTTAAAAGATTTTCCCAATTAAAGCTTTATTTTTATCAGCAAAAATAGTCACCTTGCAAATTGCAGAAACACCTAGCGCTTCAGGGGATTTAGCATTCACAATCTTAGGTTTTCTAAGTCTTAATTTTAAGTATTCTGTCCTATATTCTGTGCCACTGAATCACCAAAATCTCCCGAAAATGCCAGTGTTTTGGCAAAAATAAATATTATACCAGTGGATAACTGAAGCTTAATTCTTTTAGGAAAAAGGTACACACACACACACACCTCAGAATTAACCCCCTGAGGGCTGAAGAAGCTTTATTTAGCCAGTGATGAAGGGCTGCTTCTGCAGCAGTAATTGCCTGGCGCTTCTGTCCTTCCAACCTTGCAAAATGAGGAGAGCAGCCTCCCATGGTTGGGGGGAGGGGGGGGAACGGGGAGGGGACTCCTTGGCACAGACGGGCAGCTACTGACACTGGAAGTCAGGCTAAACGCGATGAAGGCACAAAAGATAAGGTGGGCGCCAATGGCATCTGCTACATACACTCTTTCTCTCCTTGCATTTATATGGTGAAGAAGCTGGGTCCCTTTGTCCTGTAGACTTTCCGACATTCTGGACTTTGTTGATTGCATCCACACAGTGTCTTAATATGTTTGTTGTCCCCTGCATTTCCTGCGCTCTAGCGCTCTAATGGACAGGTTGCTGTAGACTTGATCAGGTAGCAGTTTGGATACTTTAGCAAGAAGACATCATTGATGATAATGGCAGGACTTTTCATTAGTGGATATATATTGTCCAGCTGTCTCTCTTTGTGTGATGTTAGACATTTAGCCAAAGTCCATTATTTCATTAGTGTACAAGTGTTCTAATTCTCATTCCTTATTCATTTATTAGCAGAAATACTTCTATGACAGAGAAACTTCCCTGGCCAACTATTTGGTTATTCTGTGGTACTCTTAGTGCAATAAAGGTAGAATAAATGCTTGATCCTTACCTTGCATTTACCAATTCTCACAATCCTCTATAGGTAACCACGAGTTCTTTATTTCTTATGAGCTCATAGATTAAACATATCTGCTGTTTCAATCTATTGCTCAAATTGTTCCATTTTTGACCAGTGAAAATGCATTCAAACTGGCTTCTGAGTTCTTTTTTTGTTACTACTTTGGTGATCATTGAAAAGTTCTTGCTTTATTATTTCACACTATGTTCCAGGACCTTCTTGAATTTTTCCTGCCCCAGTCTTGAAATTAGCTGTTTTGCATTGTTTTTCAAGAATCTGGGTTCCTCTTAGTAGGAAATAGTAATAGAGACCACAGTTTGGGTGCCATGAGAGCTCAGTGCTGCTAGACTGGTCATTGTTTCTAGGCCTTGTAGATGGGCGAAGCTAAGAAACATGTGGTTGTTGGGGTTTTTTTGTCCTTTGTTTTGTGTTTTTAAGAGAAATACATCCTGAGCTCATGCTGATGTTTTCAATTCAAGTTAGGACTATAGGGTTTTCATTTCTTTTATTTTACATCTTTTTTCCCCACATACTAACACCTTGATTCTTAATAATATAAATATAATTATTTATTTGCCATATCTTATGTCATATGCCCTAGTTTCAGAACAGCAGTGCTAATATTACTACAAAAGCATGATAACTGAAAGTAGATTAAAGTGTATGTCCAATTCTTTTTCTTCTTAGGTTATATCCCACTAGTTTATACATTAAATTAGTCAGTAGAAATAATTCTTCTCTGTGTAGTTAAGTCACTAACTCAATACAGTAATCCAATTTTGCTTTCTGTTCTTAGGAATTATTTTTAAAGTTTAATTTGATTATGTAATTATGAAAGATCTTTACATGGTTCCAAAGTCCAACTTATAAAACAAAGTATGCCGAAACCGGTTTGGCTCAGTGGATGGAGCGTTGGCTTGCGGACTGAGGGGTCCCAGGTTCGATTCCGGTCAGGGGCATGTACCTGGGTTGCGGGCGCATCCCCGGAGGGAGATGTGCAGGAGGCGGCTGATTGATGTTTCTCTCTCATCAATGTTTCTCTCTATCTCTCTCCCTTTCTCTCTGTAAAAAATCAATAAAATACATTTAAAAAAAAAAAAAAAAAAAAAAGTATAATCAGAAAGTACAGTTTCTATGTTTCCATGTTTCCTCCATGCTCTTCCCAATATAGGTAACCGAGTTTTAAGTATTTTTTTTCAGTTTTTAAAATTATGCTCTGCCCTGGCCCATGTGGCTCAGTTGGTTGATCATTATCCCACGCACAGAGAGGTCACCAGTCAGGGCACATGCCCAGATGCCCAGTAGGGGGCGTGCAGGAGGCAGTAGATGCATGCTTCTCTATTTCCCTCACCCTCTTTCTCTAAAAAATAAATGAAAACATATTTTTAAAATAACTAAATAAATAATAAATTATGCTGTTTTTTCACTGTTGTGATTTTATATATTCCTATCCCTGCCACCTTTTTAAAAAATAAATGGAAGCATATATTTTTCTCCATCTATTTTTTTTCCAGATAATAATGTATCCTGCACAGTATATTGAGGTAACAGCGTAGAGACATTCCTAGTTTACAGCTGCATGGTTATCCATTGGTGGTGTCACAGTCCCCTGTTGGGTTATTTCCAGCATCTTGTTGTTATGAACAGCGTTGCAATAAATATCCTCTAAGTTATAAATGGAGTTTGAAGTTTCAAAAACATAAATATTCTAAGACCTTATTTTGGAATTGGTCAGATAATTAGCGGGTTGAAGAGTTTTGTTTGTTTAAACTGTTCATAATATATTCTAGTTATAATCTTATAAATGTGGTTTCTACACTTTCTCATTTTTATTAGGCAGTGAAATTCCCTTGTGTTTTAGCATAGGACCAGCTGCTGCAAACGGTCCATGGATGCATGAAAAAGGTATAGTCTCTGCTGTGAGACTCAAGCTTAATATCTACCTACCGACTCAATTCTATTTTTCAGCATCCACCAAATGTTGTGAAAGATACGTTAGTGCCTCTTACAACAATTATATTTCTGTCCATTTCTCCCTAATTTTTCAGAAACTATTTTCCTTTTTTAAATCGATATTACTATAATGGCTCATGCATCTTCATTGTGAATTATATCTTTTATCAATATAAAATGATCCTTGTTTTTCTGACAAATTTTGCTTTGAATGACAGTAATATTAGTCACTGGCTTCTTTTTTCCCTTCTTTCTTCTATCTTCCTTTTTTAAAATTTTTTATTATTTACCACTTTATTTTTAACCTTCACAGCAGAACAGCTGCCTTTTTTTTTCTTTCTGGCTGATAATGGTCTCAAGATACATGTTTCTCTCTCTCCCTCTTCCTCTCCCTTTAAAAGGGAAGTAGGCAGGGGACTCTCTCAACCTCCAGCAATGCTTTCTGTGTCTGGGCAAAGCTTTGATGGCTCCTGACAGGGCTTCCCAGTCAAGCTCCATAAAAATTTCCACTTAATGGTGTTTCCTCTCAGAATCTGGCTGTCGCTCAAGCTGCACTTCCAGGGTCAGGGTTGGGCAGGTGCACCGTTTTTCAGTGTCTGGAGGAGACCATGGATGTATAAAGTTAGAAAAGGGCGTGGCGAAGTGGAGGTTGGGGGCCCGGTCGCGCCGCAGCTCCCGGGCGGCCGCCGCGGTCCCCACGCGTGTCGCCCTGCGTGGAGGGCGAGGAGCGGCCGAGGCCCTGAGGAGGCGCCGCTCGGTGAGATGCTGTGCGGGGAGGACTGGCTCAGCCACCCGCTCGGGATCCTGCAGGGCTTCTTCGCCCAAAATGGAGTTAATCCTGACCGGGAGAAGAAAGTAATGGAATATTTTAAGGAAAAGCTGGAAGAAAATAATGCTCCTAAATGGGTCCCATCATTGAATGAGGTTCCTCTTCATTATTGGAAACCTAACAGTTTTGTGAAGTTGCGCCGCATGATTCAGGACATGTTTGACCCTGGGTTTTACATGGGAGTTCATGAAACGGTGAACCGAAACACTAAAGCACGTGTCCTTCATTTGGAAAATATGGAGATATAGCAGAATGTGGGCCTCAACAGGAAGTTGATTTAAACTCTCCACGAACTACCGCTTTGGAAAGACAGAATTTCTATTGTGTTCCAGTGCCTGGGGAATCTGTGTGGGTAAAAGAAGCCTATATTAATGCAAACCAAGCTCGAGTCAGTCCTTCAACATCTCACACTCCCAGTCGTCACAAGAGGGGTTATGAAGATGGTGAAGACATGGACCTACAGCCTAATAAACAGAAAGAGCAGCATGCGGGTGCCAAACGAACAGGGAGTGTTGGCGGTCTTCAGGGGTGTGGCAAGCCAAAACGTCCAGAAACTGAAGCTTCTACTGGACCACAGCTGAGCTCCCTGAACCTCTCTTCTCCTTTTGACCTGAGCTTCCCACAGCCAGGAGAGAAGGGCCCTGCATGCCTTGTGAAGGTCTGTGAAGATGGGGATTGTTTCAAAGTAAATGATGTTCTTGAGTTGTATGGCATCCTCTCTGCGGATCCTGTGCTAAGTACACCGAACAATGATGAAAGGGACGCCGCGTCACTCCTGGAGCCGATGGAATGCACAGACACAACCAAAGAACAGAGAGTGCACAGTCCTCCTGCTTCGCTAGTGCCAAGAATTCATGTGGTTTTAGCCCAGAAGTTGCAACACATCAACTCACTGTTGCCGGCCTCCCTTAACAAAGAGGAGAGCAAAACCTTTGTTTCAAGTTTCATGTCCGAATTGTCTCCAGTCAGAGCAGAATTGCTTGGGTTCCTCACACATGCCCTTTTGGGAGATAGTTTGGCTGCTGAATACCTTATATTACATCTCATCTCTACGGTATATACAAGAAGAGACGTGCTTCCACCGGGAAAATTTACGGTTAACTTGAGTGGTTGCCCACGGGATAGTACCTTCACAGAACACTTGTATCGAATTATTCAACATCTTGTTCCAGCATCTTTTCGTCTGCAGATAGAGAACATGAACCGTTTGAAATTCATCCCCCACAAAGACTATACAGCCAATCGCTCGGTCAGTGGGCTCCTCCAGCTACCCAGCAACACTTCCCTTGTAATCGATGAAACTCTCCTGGAGCAAGGCCAGCCTGACACCCCAGGTGTTCATAATGTGACGGCCCTGAGCAACCTAATAACTCGGCAGAAGGTGGATTATGATTTCAGTTACCACCAAATGGAATTCCCCTGCAATATTCATGTTTTGATTACTTCGGAAGGGAGATCACTCCTACCCGCAGATTGCCAGATCCACTTACCGCCACAGCTAATTCCCCCAAACATGGAGGAGAACATGAACAGCCTTCTCTCAGCCGTGCTGCCTTCTGTGCTAAACAAGTTCCGCATTTACCTGACCCTTTGAGGTTCCTGGATTATAGCCTATCTGATGAAACAACCAAGGCAGTTGAAGATGACTTTGTGGAAATGCGCAAGAGTGACCCTCAGAGCATCACTGCCGGCGATCTCCACCAGCTGCCCATTGTCGCTCGGTTTCTGCCTCTCAGTGCTGGGCAGACAACCCTGTCGAGAGAACGATGGCTAAGAGCAAAGCAGCTGGAGCCTTTGAGAAGAGCGAGGCTTCAGCAGCAGCAGTGTGTGAATGGAAAGGAACTTTAAACATCTGAGACCTATCGAAGAGTAATGGGCAAATTACAGCCACATTCTTGTAAAATGCAAGTATCATTTATACCATTGTTTTGTAGATACTTTGTATTAAAAACCAAGGACTTCTCCTGAAATCAAGCCTGGTAACATCTGAAGTTTATATAATATTCAGTAAGGGCTTTTACCTTACCGATTTTAGGGAGCTTTTGGAGTTTGTTTTATAATTATATAAATTAGTAATGTACAAAACTGTATTTGATATTAAAAGTTTAATATTGATAACAAAAAAGAAAGAAAGAAAGAAAGAAGGAAAGAAAGAAAGAAAAGTGCATTAGAACACATTCCATTTTAAACTGGAAGTCATGTTTTGAACATTCCCTGCTGCTTGATAATATAATTTTAATTAACTTTGCTTTATAAAAGCTTATCTTAAAAAGAACTTAAAACTGAATATGACACACACACACACAAATTATACATATCACAGGTGATAAAATTTACTTATAGATTTTTATTCTATGAATATGACTATTTCAGAAGTAAAGAAAATACATGACTTTGTCCTTTTACTTTTAGGTATTTTTATATTAAGAGCGTATTTTTAATAACATTTACATTTTTATATTAAGACTTCAGATGAATTGGAAATTTCAACAATAACTTCATCCCATTACTCTGATATTTGCAAAAAAATGGGGGGAAAGCTAGTTATTAAACAAACTGACTTCTTCAAACAATACAAGTGGATCTCTAGCCATTTTAAATGACTTTATAATAGACAAATGAGAATTCAGCTCTTCTATTAACTGGTAAATGTAGTTTATTAAACTTTTCTTCTCATACATGTATATATTTAAATATATTTTATTGATTTTTTACAGAGAGGAAGGGAGAGGGATAGAGAGTTAGAAATATCGATGAAAGAGAAACATCGATCAGCGGCCTCCTGCACACTCCCCACTGGGTATGTGCCCGCAACAAAGGTACATGCCCTTGACCGGAATGGAACCTGGGACCCTTGAGTCCACAGGCCGACACTCTATCCACCAAGCCAAATCGGTTAGGGCATTCTCATATATTTTTATTCTTTTCAAAAGAACTATTTTACTAATGTCCCTTAACTTGTCATCTTTAGAGATTCTTATATTAAAAACACTAAGAGAGATCTCTCAGACAAAATTTTCTAATTTGCAGCTCAGAAAATATTGTTATCATTCCTAAAGACCATAAATTGAAATTCATCCATATTTCAAATTGGAAAACTGAGTCTCCAAATCACAGGACTATTTTTTCCCCCACTTTTTATTTTTGAAGGAATTTCAAATTTATAGAAAAGTTGAAAAAATAAGAGAAAGAAAATAATAGGGGAAAGAAGCCTGTATAACCCACATTCATCAAATGTAAACATGTTTTCACATTGACTTTCCCAATCTTACTTCATCACTCTCTTTTTCTCTCTCTCCATGTGTACACACATTTACACATACACACATCACAAGAATAAGAACATTCCCTTACACAATCCCATTTCAGTTATCACAATTAGAAATTTAACATTGATCTAATAATCATTATTATATCAGTCAGTATTCCAATTCTTCCCACTTTTCTAATGTGTGTTATAGCAAGCCAGGAGCCATCACAGGACCATGAATTGCACTAAGTTGCCATGCCTCTTCAGTCTCCTCTGACCTGGAGTAGCTCCTCAGCCTTTCTTTGTCTTGACATCAACAGCTTTGAAGAGTGCAGAGTGTTGTAGAATAGGAACTAGTGTTCATTCTTCGCCACCCATTCTGGAGTTGGCTTTGCCTGCACCGTTAGAACTTGCTGTGTGCTATTTTAACCTTCCAGAACCTATTCCTTAAAGGTGCATAAACATAACTTGTGGTCATGAATCTTTATGTGTTGCATCTGAATGGACATGCACATGCAAAGACTTGAGGCAAATGTAAAAAGAGTGTGGCTGAGGCAGCGAGTCCTCGCATCGGCTTACTCTGTTACGTACGGTGCATTCCATCCTCATAGCAGTGCTAGGAGAGCAACACAATTATCATTGCCCCCATGCTACAGCAGAGGAAACTGAGGAACAGAGCAGTTAAGCAAGTTCGCCAAAATCACACAGCCAGAGTATGGCGAAACCTGAACTTCAACCCCAGCAATCTGGCATGAGAGGCGGCTGTGGGCTCCGTCTCGCCCAAATAAATCTCATCCCCTTTTACAAGCATGCAGCCCGGCGAGTACTTGGTCTTTACGATAGATTGGCATGTGTTGTAGGTAACAAATGCATGAGAACAATATCCTGCTCTACTGTGCAAGCCCCGGGCTCCACATCTGAGCCAGGCAGGACAAGACCAGAGCAGCAACAAGTTAGCCACGGAAACAAGTGAGCTCCCTGAAAGCAGGAAATGGCAGTGTCTGGACAAATGGTCAGAGTCATACTAAGAAAGTTAAATATTTACTCAGCTGGCAGGAGCAAATATTCCATTTTTAATTGTTATCCACTTTAGTCCATATTTAACTAGTGTCCACTGTGTAGGGAAGACCGTATAATGCATTCTAGAAAATACCCAAATAGAAGACAGGGTCTCAGAGAGCAATAAGAATTCATGAAAAAAAGCAAAAGCTTGAAAATACTTACAAAGATGTATACGGGTGTTGATAAATTAGTGTGCTACAAGGAAAGCTCTGTTCACACAACCCTAAGAAAGCTATTAGAGTAGGAAAAGTTAAAGAAGATAAGTTTTTCCTTGAAGATGTAATTCATAAATGGGTTTAGGAAACCAAGGGGCCATGTGGCGTTAAGAGTGTCCAGAGCGGGTACTGATCCAGAGCTGGGAGTGGATAGGGAATGGGGTGTTGTGGGCCTGCAGGGAGAAGAGCGCTCTGGGCTCACCTCAAAAACTGAGGGACAGGAACAGCCAGCGTGACAATGAAAAGTCAGCATTAACGCATTCGCCAGATGGGTGAGAACATGCAGGTGAGCTCAGGGTGAGAACATGCAGATGCTCCCAGGCTCACAGATGTCAGGAAGCAGAGGATCCCCCATAGGAGGGAAAGCTTTGGGTTTGGGTTTTGTTGTTTTGGTTTTTGTTGGTTTTTTTTTGAAAGAATGTTAAAACAAGCAAGAAAGAGGGCTATGCAAATAGCCCACTGGATCAAGGTCAGAAGAAAAACACCAAGGGTTTAAGAAAAAGCCCCGTGTTCTGATAAGTGATGATGCTGAAGACAGGAGGCAGCGAGTTAAGGTGGAAGAGGGTGGGGAGAATGAGGTGGACATGAGGAAGTCCCCCCTCTGTGCATTTTGTTACAGATAGCTGTGGAATGAGATGGTAATTGGATGTTGAAGCGAGGTGGTCAAGAGAGGGATATTTTTTTTTTTTTAAGTCGTGTATTTATTTTTTTTTTTCTATTTTCTTTTTTTTTTCTTTTTTTTTTTTTATTATTAGTTAAGGTATTACAAATGTGTCCTCATCCCCCCCATTAACCCCCAACCTCCCCCCCACACACACTCATGCTACCATCCCCCTGTTGTCCATGTCCATTGGTATGGCTTATATACATGTATACAAGTCCTTTGGTTGATCTCTTCCCCTTACCCCCGCCCTCCCCTACTTTCCTTCTGGGGATTGATAGCCTGATTGCTGTTTCTCAGTCTTTGAGTCTGTCCCTTTTCATCAGTCTATGTTGTTCTCTATAATCCACAAATGAGTGAGATCATGTGGTATTTATCTTTCTCTGACTGGCTTATTTCACTTAGCATAATGCTCTCCAGTTCCATCCATGCTGTTGCAAAAGGCAAGAGTTCCTTTTTTTTTACCGCAGCATAGTATTCCATTGTGTATATGTACCACAGTTTTCTAATCCACTCATCTGCTGATGGGCACTTAAGCTGTTTCCAAATCTTAGCTATGGTGAATTGTGCTGCTATGAACATAGGGGTGCATATATCCTTTCTGATTGGCGTTTCTGGTTTCTTGGGATATATTCCTAGTAGTGGGATCACTGGGTCAAATGGGAGTTCCATTTTTAGTCTTCTGAGGTAGCTCCATACTGTTCTCCACAGTGGCTGCACCAGTCTGCATTCCCACCAGCAGTGCAGAAGGGTTCCTTTTTCTCCACATCCTCTCCAACACTTGTTGTTTGTTGATTTGTTGATGATAGCCATTCTGACAGGTGTGAGATGATAACGCATTGTCGTTTTGATTTGCATCTCTCGTATAATTAGTGACTTTGAGCAGGTTTTCATATGTCTTTCGGCCTTCTGTATGTCCTCTTTCGAAAAGTGTCTATCTAGGTCCGTTGCCCATTTTTTTATTGGATTGTTTATCTTCCTTTTGTTAAGTTTCATGAAATCCCTGTAAATGTTGGAAATTAAACCCTTATCGGTGGTATCATTGGCAAATATGTTCTCCCATGTAGTGGGTCTTCTTGTTGTTTTGTTGATGGTTTCCTTTGCTGTGCAAAAGCTTTTTATTTTGATGTAGTCCCATTTGTTTATTTTCTCTTTAGTTTCCATTGCCCTAGGAGCATTATCAGAGAAGAAATTTCTTCGGCATATGTTTGCGATTTCGCTGCCTGTGGATTCCTCTAGTATTTTTATGGTTTCCCGTCTTACGTTTAAGTCTTTTATCCATTTTGAGTTTATTTTTGTGTATGGTGTGAGTTGGTGATCTAGTTTCATCCTTTTGCATGTATCTGTCCAATTTTCCCAACACCCTTTATTGAAAAGACTGTCTTGACTCCATTGTATGCTCTTGCCTCCTTTGTCAAATATTAATTGGGCATAGTGGTTTGGGTTGATTTCTGGGGTCTCTATTCTATTCCATTGATCTATATGTCTGTTCTTGTGCCAGTACCAAGCTGTTTTAAGAACAGTGGCTTTGTAATACAGTTTGATATCTGGTATTGAGATCCCACCTACTTTGTTCTTTCTCAGAAGAGAGGGATATTTTTTAAAAGGGAGCATACAGACTGGCTACAAGGTCCCTGTCTGTCTGAGATTGTGCCTACAG